GGGGGCCTCACCTTCAGACGAGATGAGGTTGTTGTGGAGGTTGAGGGTCCGCAGGTCGCTGAGGCGCGACAACTCGTTGTAGGGGAGCTCCTGGAGCTGGTTGTTCTGCAGGGCGGGACGGGAGGCACACCCCGACCCCAAGGCCTTCACCCACAGCCATGACCCTGACCTCGGCTCCCCAGCAACCCCCAGGTCATCACAACCTCCCCGACCCGGCCCCAAATAACCTCCATCTGCCGGCACGTTGACCCCAATGCCTCGTCACCCCTCAATCAACCCCAAACAACCCTGTAACCAAGACATGCACCCCCTAGCCCCCCCACAATAGACCCCAAACACCAGTTACATTGACCCATAACTGCCAAGATCTTGACCCCAACATTCCCCCCAACCCACCCCATAAAACCAGTAACCACCAAGACATTGACCGCTGGTGCCCCCATAATTGGCCCCAAACACCCCATTACACTGATCCCAGTCTCATAACCAAGATATTGACCCCAACACCCCAACACCCCACAATCAACCCCATAAAGTCCTGTAACCACCAAGACATTGACCCCCCCATCACCCCGCAATAGACCCCAAACACCCCATTACACGGACCCTTAACCGAGATCTTGACCCCAGCTCTCCATCACCCCACAACCTGTACCTCCAACACATTGACTACCCAGCACCCCAAGAATCACCACTGCAACTTCACCACATTGACCCAAACAGCCAAGACCTTGACCCCAATACCCCCACAATGGCCCCCAAACAATGCTAGAACCAGTAAGATAAGGGTGAACCCCCACCCCCAGCCCGCCAGTCCCTCCCACTTGCAATGTCCCCACCCAGACTCCTCCCTGTCGTCAGGGTCACCTTCTCTCATTGCCAGCTCCTCACCTCCCCAACATCCACGCTCCCCCTCCTCTGACCTCTGCCCCCAGGTCTTTGCCCTGCTGTCCGCGGGGCACCCCACCTGCAAGGAAAGGTGCTGAGCGACCCTGGTGATGTTATCCGGGAACACCCGCAGGTCCAAGCCGGCGCAGTCCACCGTGTCGGCCCGGGGGCAGGAGCAGCGTGGGGGGCAGGCCCTGGGCGGGGGCTGCGAGCTCTCCCCGAGGTGGGGGAAGTTGGCATCTTCCATGCCAGGGGCGGGCAGGGGGCCCGACCACAGTACGAGCAGCAGCAGGCTGACCCGCTGGGGAGAGAGGGCATGGTGGGCTGTCCCCAGGTCGGCTTGGGTCGCCATGGTGACCGCGCATCTCCCCCCACCCCTGGCGCAGGGGAGGGGGGGAGCGGCTGGGGGGGGCACCCGGTTAGCAGAACTGGAGTGGGGGATGCTGGTGCCACCTTACCATAGCCAGCCTCGGCTCTGCCGCCTGGCCCGAACTGCTGACCTGGCCTCCCTGCTGGAAACCAGGCGGTCACCTCCTGGAGCCTCCGCTGTGGCTGCCAGCGCCCCCCCATCTCTGCACGGGCCACCCCCCTCGCAGCCTGTTCTCCAGGGGCTTGGGGGAGCTGGCCCAACCCCTTCCCCGCCCTGGGGAGGGGAGACCATAGCCAGCCTCGGCTCTGCCGCCTGGCCCGAACTGCTGACCTGGCCTCCCTGCTGGAAACCAGGCGGTCACCTCCTGGAGCCTCCGCTGTGGCTGCCAGCGCCCCCCCATCTCTGCACGGGCCACCCCCCTCGCAGCCTGTTCTCCAGGGGCTTGGGGGAGCTGGCCCAACCCCTTCCCCGCCCTGGGGAGGGGAGCGAGGAGCGCGGGCAGCAGGCCGGATGGGGTGGTGAGAACAGGCCAGCCCGTCCCTCGGTCCCCCCCCACCTCTACCACCCCAACCACCCCAGCTTCGCTTTCGTAACCTCAGCCCGCCTGGGCTGGCCACGGGAACTAGGAATGTTTGGAGAAAAGCTGGGATTCGCCCTGTCTGGTATTTGGGCCAACCGCAGGAGTGGGGATGGAGGAGCAGGGGAGGCTTTGGGGCACTGGAGTCCCAGAGGAGGAGCGGGGATGGCATTGAGGGGTCAGAGGAGACCCGGGCTCAGCCTGCCAGCCCTGACCCAAGTGTGGGGACTCTTGTCTAGCTCTGCCGCCCAGGCCCCTCCTCTCTGCTAGCCGGACTGGCTGGCAGACCTACACCCCACCTCCCCAAACGACCACAGCGGCCGGAACGGAAATGACATATACCCAGGCACCGGGCTGGTGGTTACTGTTGTGTGCTTGGTGCCAGCCTGCCTGGCTCTGAACCTCCCCCCACCTCTCCCCACCTCCCGGGGCCTCAATTTCCCTCTCTGTAAAATGGGTTAATGGTTCTCTTCCCTTTCTGGAGTATGATAGGTTTGTTTTGTCTATTTTTAAAAAAGAATTATTTCACTTTATTTATTTTCATTTGACCAGAATGAGAAAGCGAGACAGAGAGAGAGAGAGAGAGGGAGAGTGAGGAAGCAAGCCACCAGTCTGGGACTCGAACCATAGTGGGCCATGTGGGAGTCCAGCACCCCCAACCACCATGCCACCTGTCGGCCCCCTATTTTATTTAATTAATTAATTTATTTTTTGGAGAGATTTTCGCTATAGGGCGTGTGCGCTCGCCAGACAGACAGAGAAAGACATAAAGAACAGAAAGCGAGAAATCACCCCCCAGGGGGGATGGCCACGCCGCAATCCCTTCTCCTCCATTCTCCTCTGGGGATCTTGGGCACACACGCACACGCGCCCAGCGTGAGTTTTAAGCCACCGGGTCCGGGACTCGAACCACGGTCGACTACGTGGGAGTCCAGCAACATAGCCATTATGCTAACTGCTGGTTCCCAGCCCCTATTTTATTTTTTAAGAGCTTTTTGTCATAGGGTGTGTGTGTTCTCTGGGAGAGAGACAGAGACAGGGGAAGTGAGAAATCACCCTCCAGGGGGATGGGCACGTCACAGTCCCTTCTCCTCCATTCTCCTCCTGGGATGTTGGGCACGCATGCTCATGCACCCAATATGACTTATATTTTTTAAAGTTTATTATTATTTAATTTGACCAGAGAGAG